ACGTTTAAACTAGTTCTGGACCTGCCGTTCACTTACGATCTTCTCCCCAAAAGCACTGCACAAAGTTCGAGGGATCTGTACTTTTTCCTTGTTCAAAATCGTACAACATGCAAAAGCGAAGCCCGAATTTTTGGTCGCATCTTCTAATGTTTATAAAATTTCTGAAATGGATACTCTTTGAGAGAAGGCTACACCATACTACTCACTGTGAAGTGCTCTCTCAAATTGTGTCACACTTGCTCACAAAACTCCAATACAGAAGTTGTGAGAAACGTGCAAACTCAATCGAAATTATTGGCCAGCCTTAGTACCCATCTGCTTTGATTAAAATCGAACTCGCACTGTGTGTCAAAATAAATTTTCTGCCTTGAACTAAAGAAATTTCTCTCTAGAAAAGCAGTAACAGGCATTTCGGTGGAAATCAGATGTAATGTGACATGTTGTAAAAGGATTGGGGAACGCGTACTCGAAAATAATAAAATTCCTGATCGTTTTTGCGATAACAGCTGCAAAATTCTGTTTCAACCTTCTTTACACTGTATCAATTTCTATTGAGTCATCTAACAAATAACTAGAATAAAATATTGTCTCTTATTACCATGAGGACTTTATCTTTCTAACATCTCGCGTTTGATCGATGCCCATCACAATGCTACGTTTCTTTTGGTAGTTTTCTCACCTTCTCGTTCTTCAAGAGATATCCTTTTGATTTTGTTGTTCTTTTCTATTTAAAAACCAGTTTTCAAAGAAAGAAAGAAAATGAAGAGACTTCTGCGAGAACGTGCGAAATATAAAACCTTAACATTTAGGCGGTCCTTTGCTTCTAACTTCCTATAAATGTGACTAAAGTTAGCCTTATATTGCTACAACCACAATGGCAACACAATACGAAGAACGTATACTTGTGGGTGTGGCCATTATCTGCTCTTTGAGCGCAATTATTGCTTGTTTAATCACTTTCCCAGCGATTGCAACTGAAATGAGCGATATTCAAGCTATGGTAAGTCCCATTAAGACTTTAAAAAGTTACTTAGCGCCGTTCCAATAAATCGCTCCAGGTTGACGCTGCCGTACAATCATTTCGTGTTGACACCGATTTAGCTTGGGACACTGTGATGGAGGTGAAGATGGCGTTTTCTCCTTCGTCAAAATCGCCATCCCAAGCGCTTGAGTCGATATTTCGCCCGAAGAGGCGTAGTGCAATATTCGCTAATTTGCCAGATTACTGTATATGTGAACCAATAGAGCCAAAATGCGAACCCGGACCTCCTGGACCGCCTGGACCTCCAGGGGAACCTGGTGAGAATCGAGTGAAATTCATCTTATATCTCGTAGATATAATTGAGAGTTGTCAAGCACATTACCTGGAAGCACGTAATTGTTTTTTTTTTTTTGCTTAATTGCAAGTCTCGCAAGAGATCGTGACGATTTTTTTCGAAGAGAAATTAGTTTCACTTCCACTAAAAAACATTTTTTAAATTCATGGTGCGTTCGACTTTCTTTAAGTTTTGTAATGATTTGCATGGTTAGTTATTGAGTTTTTTCTTTACTTTCTAGAAACCAGACGTTGGATTTTTTATTTAACATTTAAAAAAAATCATCAGCCGTTTTTTTCTTAACCTTTTTTT